GATTCAATGACTTTTCTGTTTGTTTTTATGGGCAAAAATAGGTTTGAAGTTTAATGCAAAATATTAAAAGACAAATTTATTTGGTGTTTGTTTTTTTAAAAAATAAACAGAAGCTGCTTTTCCTCACTTTGCTCATGCTTTCTCCAGTGAAAACCTCTCTCCTCCCCAGGGGGTAGAATTCGTGCTGGAACTGGAGCGGGCTGGCTGGCTGTACAGCTGCTGTTTCCAGCCTCTCCCACCTCTTCCACAGGGATGCTTCTTCCACCTCTTCCGACCTGGACCCGCGCTCAGCCTGGCTGCTCTGCATTGCTCCAAAACACATGTTGCCTGTGATCAAAAACCACTGCTGCGGGTTTTTTAACAAAAGAGTCAAGTCTTTCAGAATATGTCAGCCCACAGTTTTCCTGCCATCTGCTTGCTTCACTGTTTCCTCGTTGCACATTTTCTTTGCTTGTAAATCACCTGCATGGAATTCATCCTGATTCCCCAAGGGCTACCTGTGCCTTCTCTGTCGCTGGGTCTGTAGCTGGAGGAGCAAGGGCAGGACTGCTGACAGGCTTGTGTCTGCAAAATTAAGACCTTCCATGACTTTTGTCCTGGTTTGAGGTGTACACATGTTGAGGTGTGCACATGTTGATCTCAAACCTTTAAAGCCCACCATCGTTTTTGCTGTCTGGTATATACACAGCATCTACAGAAATCCTGCCCTTTTGAGGGCTCCAGCCCAAATATTATAGCTTTCAATACCAGAAAAAGCCTCTGTATTTGCAGAGGTTTTTATTTTGCTGCTGCAGCCTCGTAGGAAAGGTGAGGAGAATCAGTAATGCCTGCGCACCCATCTCTGCCTTCCTAGAGAAACCTGCTGCTTCCGTGCTTGGCTGCCTTGTCTGCTGGTGAGCTCAGAAGCCACCGTACCTGCCTGGCTGATGGCCGTGACCCGAGCAAAAGGACACGCGTGCGGGGATGAGCAAGGCTGCGACACTGGTTTTCAAGCAGAAAGCTGGTAGAGGAGATCCTGTCCGAGCTCATCGCCAACAGACGAGCAACCTTCAAACTTCTGCTTCAGCTGGGCTGAAGTTACTCAGATTTTCATACTAGAGTTGTGCAGAAGGTTTTGTCTTCGGCTTCAAGATCCTGCTTCGCTGAAAGAAGACCTTGGTAAATCATCGTTACTGGTTTAAACGTGGTTCGCAGTGCAGTGTTACGGAAACGTCCTTTGGAAGGTCACTGGCAGCCCTTCAGCAGTCAGCCTGCTTTTCCCGTCTGCTCCCTCGCAACGAGGGAACCTTGCTCCTTCCCCTTTTTCAGATTTCTCTCTATTTCCTTGCATAGTTGGGTAAATGGGGTGGATAGAAAATTTTTCATCCCAAATGTAATTGCCAGCTTGAAGGGCAGAGGGGCTTGCTGGTGAGTCGTCTGTCAGAAGAGGTGGTCCTCGGATTGTCAGTGCTCTAAAGACTTCCTTCGCTGTGGAGCTGGTTTTCTCTGGCAGCAGCTCTGCCTACCTTAGAAATTCATTGCTAGCTTTCAACTCTGCCTTATGCAGAGTATTGCCATTGTGTTTCCTTTGCTTTAGAGTGGGGAGAAATTCCTTAATTTACATGAAGGTCAGGAGCTGCTCCGAGCCCGAGTGTCACCACAGCAGCGTGTTGATAGGGGTAGAGGGTGGGTGTTTCTGTGCAGGGTGTTGGTGGGTGTAGAGGGATGGAGGGATCTTTCTGTGCAGGGTTCCCCAGGAGGTAGAATCATAGAATCATGGAATGGTTTGGGTTGGAAGGGACCTTAAAGATCATCCAGTTCCTCCCCCTGCCATGGGCAGGGACACCTTCCACTAGACCAGGTTGCTCCAAGCCTCATCCAGCCTGGCCTTGGACACTTCCAGGGATGGGGCATCCACAGCTTCTCTGGGCAACCTGTCCCAGTGCCTCCCCACCCTCTCCAGGAAGAACCTCTTCCTGATATCTCCCCTCTTTCAGTTTAAAGCTGTTACCCCTTGTCCTGTCACTACCTGCCCTTGTAAGCAGTAGCAGGCGAAGGGGCAGATGCTGCTGTGTGGGGTGTTGGTGGTTGCACAGGCACTCTGGCCTGTGCTGGGCTGGACTGGTGATGGGGCAAGAACCTCCCTGAGCCTTCTCCCCCCAGCCAGCCCCAGCACAGTACAGAGGGGAAGGCCCAGGTCAGACCTGGTTGTGCCATGAGCACCCCAGCACTTCTGGTCTTACCTGCATGTTACATGGGGACCGCTTGCTTGTTGAGCTTTGGGCTGTGTGCTCGGTGAAGTGCCCTGCTTCCCTGCAACCTGGCCCTACCAAAAGCCCTAAAGATACGGAGAAACACTTCTCCCGAGCTACACAGTCTGGTTCTGTGGGTCAGAAGTGGTTCCTGCTGCTTGATCTCGCAGGGGAATGGCTTGTGCTGGGGGATGGGAAGGGAGAGGCTCTAGATATAATCCCAATTGCAATGCCTCGGGCTTGAAATGATGACAGAAAATTTTCCTGCTGGCATTTGTTCTCATTTAACTACAGCTTGTTCACCAGGATGTTTTTCAGGGAGGGTCTGCTCAGCGCTGGCAAAGGAAGGGCTCTTATTTCCCAAGCGTGCTTATCACTTTGTCCTTGACAACGATGGGAACTTTCGGCACTTTTTTTTTATTTAGAGGCAAACATGAGAAACCTGCCTTTGCAGGGAGCATTGTGCTGGTTTTCCTGTGTGCTGAATCACGCCAGGCAGATAAAGTTTCCCCAAAATGTTGTTGGCTGTGCAGATGTTAGACCTTGGAAAGTCGGGTGGGAGGGGGAGGAGAATTAGTAGCTGAGCTATGAACCGAACAGATCTCGCAGTTCAAATAAAGTACCTGCCATCACTTGAGAAAATGTGTTTAGGTGTAGGATGAACAATAAAAACTTGAGTATTACGAACAACTTCACAGCTACCTGAGTTTGTGTCTGGAACAGGGCGGTGTTGGTGGGGTGGTGCCCCTTGACAGCAGGAGTGCTGAATGGTTTAGATCTGTAGGATAAGGCGGAGGCTGGACGCACAGAGAAGCAGTTGATGTTTGCCCTCTGCCCCCCCTTCACGTGAGTACCTCGATGTTTTAGGCTGCGGGACATGAATCAGGAGCTCGTGTTTTAAGAAAGATACATATTTTCAAAGTTTGTTTGTTAAGAAAGATACATATTTTCAAGATAGTTTAGATGCTCATCCCATTTTACACCGGGTTTGCTGGAGATGATAGAGTGCTCGTGGGGCAGACTTGAAAAGCACGCGTTAGCAGCATGATGCTTAAATCTCCCAGTAGAGTAAAACCTCCCTGGTACAACTGCCTTTGAACATTTCCTTGTGTCTTCAGCACTTTATTTTAGATTTGTTTTTTGTTAACCGTATGAACAGTTGAACTGTTTTAGCTCTGTATCTGGGTACAACGCATGCTACTTGGTGAGCTTTGTGGACATAAACACCCTGCATGACTACCATCTTTTGCTGTAGGAAGGTGAATTGTGGAGGAAGCCGTTGCCTGCCAAGGGCAGGTATAGGAGGGATGACCCCCAGAGCTGTACGGGGCTCTTGGAGTGCTGCAAGAACTAGTGTCACATACTGGCACTACCCTTGCAAGCGCAGGGTTTTCTTCTCGTGCCACAGGGAAGTTTTGGAAATACAAGGAATGCTGTCTTCAGTGTCATCCTCTTTTTCCTAGTAGAGATATTTGGGGAATCTCTTGTTCGAAGGAATACGGTCACAACAATAAAAGCTATTTAATAAAGCCCCTTCCTGTTGATGGCACTTGGTTTGCTTAACCCTCAACCAGCATGCATACAGGGTTATGATACACAAAAATGAACAGAGTATTGGTGTATCTTGGTAACTGAACGCTACACACTCTTACTTTTGCTTACAGCCCATTAAAACTGCAAGTTTCCGCAGTGCAGCAGCACGGAGGTGCAGTGCTGGGGTCTGCCGGGGTCCCAGCGAGTTGAGACATGGCTGCTGTGCCCGACCCGGTCTCCAAAGGCAGCCTAGATTTATTAAGGCACTGATCAGTAGTGGGGAAAGTGCTAGAAGTGTAACTGGAGCAAGATGCTTTGCATGGGCATTCAGGCTTTGGCTGCTGTCCTCCTCCTGATTTATCATGCACAAAAAAAGCCGTTCCTACCTGCAGAGCAGAAAGCAACTCACACGTGGTGTATTCATACACCCAGCAAGAAGCACGGGCTGTGTATTTCAAGAAAATTAGAGCGTAACAGTCAGCAAGAAGAAAATTTGGTGCCTGAATGCGGCTTTTGATTTTGAGTGTTAAAACCCCACGCCAACACCCATCCTTGGTGTAAGCCTTGTACCTGATCTGATCTCCCTGGTGAAATTCAAGTCATCAGTTGTATGAGGTTGAGGATGGGTTGGCTTGAAATTTTCCTTTCCTCTCTATTAAAAATAGATGTAGGAGAAATTTTGCTCACTTTCCTTTTCCCAGGGGCTCATTTAGGCTGCAAGCAGAACTCCCACCCCTATATCTCACTAACTGAACCGAGGTGGGACTTTGTATCCCCCGTGGTCACTTGGTTGGGACCACACCACATGCTCTCAGAAGCATTTATGAAGATGGGGTTTCTGGATGTGTTTCAATGACTATGTAACAGCCAAGTGTTGAGATGCCCTGTTCCAGGGACTACAATTTCAGGTTTCCTATAGCATATGCACTCACTCCAGTGTTTCCTGGCTGCCATCATCTTCCACTCTGTGGCTGCCTAGACTGATCCTGCTGTTCCCGGCTGTATTTTTTCCCTCCACTCTTGCAGTGGAGGAGTGGACTAAATTTGAAGTCGTAGTCTCTTGTGTACTATTTCCTAGGATTTGGACCTTTCAGTGCATGTGGATCACTGGTCTGTCACACTGGAAAACAAAAGGGTGCAGCTGGTTTCCATTTTGGAGCCTCCAGCAGGCGCGTGCTTGTTGGGCAGTGATGCTGCGCGGCTCAGAGATTAATGCTCGTGTTTCTCGTTCCCCAGAGATCATTGACGACCTCACTAACCTGGTGGAAAACACAGACGACAAGCTTCGCAACCAGACGCGGCACGTGAAGATGGTGGATAAGAAATCGACGTCCTGTGGTAGGAAATGGCTTGAGCACAAATCCTGCCCTGTTATTAAACAATGTGAAACCAGTCTAGCGCTCAGAGGCTGTGTGCAAGGTGCTCCCCCCAAGAACAGCTTCTTTTAAAAGTTAAATACCCCCACCTCTCCAGACTGAAAACGTGGCGTGAGCAGCTGCTGCAGGTTTGACTCGCTGCGCGTGCCGTGTGTTGGTGTAGGTAACGTCCTCAAGCCATTTGTCTCCAGCATTGCCCAGTGTTCTGCTCGGAACTGGAGAGCTGTATGAAACGAGTGCGGTACATGTTAATGAGGTTTAAAAAAGCTGCTAGCTACCAGCTACCAGCTCCCACAAGCGGGTCGCAGTGGGGCGTGATGCTGCAGGGGCATTTCTGGTGGTGTCATGCGGGAGTGTGGTCTCAGCCCCGCAGCATTCACAGCCTGCCAGACATGGCATCCTCCCGGGGGGCTCGTCATGCTACGTGCGGGCTGGTAGCTCTAAACTCGCTCTTCATGCAGCCAGAGCCCGGTTAGACATCTCGAGAGTGAGGGCAGGTTTCCTCTGTAGGGTGAAGAGCTGCGGCCTTTGATAGCAGTGACTTTGGGAGGATGCTGTGATGGCAGCACGCACCTTCATCCTGGAAGGAGGAGTGACGCTGAGGAGTGAAGGGGGGGAGTGTTCGTGGGGAGGTGGTAGGAGCGAGACACTCAGAAATAGCATCTCCGCTTTAGTGTCCGTGATTTGTTTTCAGCGCACTAGAGGACTCAAAATGCTAATAAGAATAATTTATGCCCTGTAGAAATTTGACTTGCAGGCGGAAGTTAACGAAATTGGGCTTATGTAGTTTAGTAAAGAGAAGTGGAGAGCTGGCTTGGTCACGTATCTGGGTGGAGAAAAGGTTTCTGGCTGGGTAGGGAGCTTTTATTCTGTAGAGTGATGATCTAGCAGCAGAAGTGACTGAGCTCAGACTGGCAGTGAGGTGCTTTTCAAGCACTGAGGATATATTTCAGGGATTTATTTAGTTCTCCATCAGATACCTTTCTGAAAGCTTAGTTGATATAGGTTGATGAAAATCTGTGGCTTCTTCAGAGGGTTAAAGTTACCTTGTCAGAGGCATTTGTCTACCACTTCTTTTGTACCAACTACAGATAGAATTAAAGGCATTGCTCCAGAGTTCATGACTGATTTTTAATTGTAGAACTTTAATGTTGACACAAGATGTATTTCATCTAAAACGGGCTCTGAATGATGCCAAGTACCCCTGTCTGCATTTGGAGTCTCACCTTAATCTCTGTGGTGTCATTTCCGGCACGATTACGGGGAAGTGCGGCGCGAAATGCCTGCGCAGGGCAGGCAGTGAATCCCATTTCACACAGGGCAGCTTCTCCCTCCTCAGTTATTTTTTCCCCCTTTTTGGGTTCCTCATGCAGGCGCAGCCCCCAGACAGTCTTGCGGGATGATGAGCCTGTCTCTTTAACTCTGAAGCCCATGCTGTCTGCGCTGGGGAATTTGAGAGGAGGAGGAGGATGGGAGAGGCGAAGGCTGGGAGGATCCTGGGCTGGATTCCTTGGGGGTGACCTCTCTCACCCTTTCCACATTGAAAAACATTTTTCTGCGAGGGGTGGTGAGAAGCGCTGCCTCTGGGTGCCTCTTCCCTCTGCTCCAATAGGTCTTCCTGTGTTTGCATAACAATTTGGGCATATGTAAACACTATATTGCCTCAGATAGCTGTTTTGTCCTGCCTGAGCATGAGTTTTAGAACAATAATGCTGGAAGACACAGGGTTTAATGGCATTCTTCCCATCCCTTTTCCACCCTTATCCCTGGCGCTGAAGTTGGCGAGCATATTGAGATCAGAAAAACCCTCCGCGTACGTACAATTATTCCTTGGACAAAGCCAAGCAGCGGGAAAACTGGCACCTGTGAGGTAGTTTTTTCAAAGTGCCTCTTTTCCCCTCCAACTTTTCATTTAAATTTATGAAATCTTTAGTAACTCTCTGGTTTCGGTGTGCTCCTTCAGAGCTAAAGCAGAGTGCAATGCTCCGTCCTTCCCCTCGCCTCCCCCTCTCCCCATCCCCTCCTTTCCCGGGATGCGGTTTGCTTGCACCCAGTCTCCGCACTGTTCCAGCATGTACCTGTCCCTGTGTCTTTGCCTCATTTTTGGAATCGGAATGGCTTTGTGTTTTTCTGCTGAGGCCCTGTGCTGGAGCCACTGGCCGTGGCGACAAGCGGAGCAGCCTGGCGTGAAACATGGAATAATCACCCTTTTAGGAGCAAGAATGTAATGCATTAATGGGTGTGTCTTTGTTAGCAGCCACTATAATAATGCAGTCAAAGTATTGCTGATGAAATCCAACTTTAATCAAAATTTCAACGTCTTGCTCTCATGCAAACCTCGTCTCAAGCTCTGGAGGTTGTTTCCTGTGTGGTTTACACGGCGGCTGTCCCCCCCTCGGTGCCACCCGCTCGGCACAGGCATCGTGGGGTGCAGCAGTGTTGCGGGGAGCGGTGGCTGCACCTCTGGCCGTGCAGAGGCCTGGCAGAAACCCTCAGGTGGTTTTGGGTGGGTTGTTTCATTCGCAGCTTGTTTGCAGTGCCGTTTCTCTCCCTGACTCCGGAGCTGTTGACAATCCCACCCCCTGCTCCTGCCCAGGGCCGGCTGCCCCGTTGGAGCCCGTCTCCCTTGGTGGCCCCGGGCAGCCCCACACTGGTGTCGGTGGGAACTCCCAGGGACTGGAGCGGAATGGTAATCCCGGGATGTACTCCAATCCGCTGCGCTTATGAAATTATTGTTGAAAATCATTGCTCATTTGCAGGCACATGTTTGCATGCTGCTTGGCATCGGTTTATTTTCAGCGTATGTTGGGCGTGTAGGAGGGATGAGGGGACATACACATTTCTTAGATTTCAGAAATCCACATTCATCTCCCACCAAAATGTCCACAGAAATCGTTAATCAAATGTCAGGCTGCCCTTACTGAATTTGCTAGAGGAATGCCTGCACGCACCATCCTGACTTTGCAGGTTTACCGCTGGTTCCCTTTGGGGTGTTTGTCCCCACTCTCCTGGTTTCCATACCTCGAGGGACCTTTTGTGCAGAGTAACACTCAGTAACCATTTCTCGCTAACTTTTTAATTGGAAATTTTAACCCTCAGAATGTCCTCTTAGGAACTGCATTTAAAAATAAGCAAAGAAATGAAGGTATAATTAAGGTTGAGATGCTGTGGGGAGGGGATGCACAAATTTGCCCCCAACAAACCCTTGAGCTGGAACGAACTGACGAAGTGGCAAATGCCAGTTAATGATGCAATACTTGGGATTCCTTCAGTACTTTTGGTTTTCCTGCATAGAGGTAGCCTAACTGTGATCCCATCTGTTCCAAATCCAATAGGAAAAAAATCCCGCATTTTCCAAAAATTTTTAAGATTTCAAATTTTGAAAAAAAAAAAAAAAATTATTTCAAGGGAAATGACTGCCCTGAAACGCATCCTGCTGCCAAACTCAGCAGCCCTGTGGTTTGGGTTCACTGGGCAGCTCCCGTGGGGGTTTCAGTCCTCCCTTGCTCCGAGTGGGCTCCACCTTCACCCCTGGCCATCCTGGTGCCCATCCTGAGAAGAGCCTGCCAGCAGCAAACCTTCCCCTGCGCTTCCAGCCCCCAGGCTCCAGCACCTCCAGCCCGGGCTGTCCCACTGTGTCCAGGGCTTCGGGACATTTCAAGGAAGCGGGTGTAGGTTTGGCGGGGGTCCGAAAACACGGCTGCTCAGCACGGTACGCACCTGTGCGGGTCGGGTTTGTTCCTGTGCACCCGCAGGCACAAGCGTTAGTATTACCTGAAGCCTGCAGAGTCTGTGGTTCTTTCTCCCTGCCCGTGGGTTGCAGTTGGCCTCATCACAGAGAGCAGGGAGTCTGTCTCCGCTAAACCCTGGCTTACCTGACTGGCGTTTTTAGTAACTTTCACCCCAACCCTAAGTTTTGTCATTTTAAATGGTTTTTTTTAACCTGAATTCCTGAGTAGGCAGCGCCCTGCAGAGAGAACGGCTAAAGCAGGCTGCGGTTGTGATCGAGATTCAGGATTTTACTAGCACAGGACACAGCTGGGAGCCAAAGTACCAGCCGTGACGTACACGGAGGCGACTGCAGCCCAGCCCTGCGAGGCCGGGAGTCACAAACGTTCTTCAGGTCCTGCTAAACCGTACTGTGAATTGGGGAGGGGATCCAGGGGATCGGTGGGGTCCTATTCCTGCTCCTACCCCAGTCACTCTTCTCGGTGGCTCTCCCGTAGCCCAGGAAGAGGCTGGTTTCCTGGGGAAGAAACACAGGACAATATGACCTTGTCATAGTAAAAACAAGCAAACTCATATTTCTGACAGACTTACCGCCTCCCTTCCGAGCAGCACGAGGAAAGCAGACCGTGTCTGTGCGGTTACCACACGTGTCCCCCTCTAACTCCTTTGGAGCCCTCAACATCAGAAGGATATCCCACCTGGAGTACTGCATCCCACCTGGGAACCCTCAGCATCAGAAGGGTATAGACCAGTTGGACTGAGTCCAGAGGAGGCCACAGGGATGCTCAGAGGGCTGGAGCACCTCTGCTTTGGGGACAGGCTGGGAGAGTTGGGGTGTTCAGCCTGGAGAAGAGAAGGGTCTGGGGAGACCTTATAGCACCTTCCAGTACCTGAAGGGTCTACAAGGAAGCTCGGGGGAACTTTTTACAAGGGCCTGTAGTGACAGGACAAGGGGGAACGGGTTTAAATTGAAAATGGGCCGGTTTAGATGAGATATCAGGAAGAAATTCTTCCTGGCGGGAATGGGGAGGCACTGGAACAGGTTGCCCAGAGAAGCTGTGGATGCCCCATCCCTGGAAGTGTCCAAGGCCAGGCTGGATGAGGCTTGGAGCAACCTGGTCTAGTGGAAGGGGTCCCCGCCCATGGCAGGGGGTTGGCACTGGATGGGCTTTAAGGTCCCTTCAACCCCAAACCATTCTATGATTCTAACCTTCCAGAGAAACGAGGAAAAAG